TATTAACAATGAATATAATTATGTAATTCCCTTTCTGATACGGACCGACATCTCTATTCTCTTTTAAAATATCGCCAAACATCCTTGTTTTTAGGAGGATCTTCTGTTTTAACTTATATTTATCATCGCCAGAACAACACTAGTCTTTAACACTAGAGGGATGTCTAGGTGATGAAGAAATGCTACACGACAACACGAACGATTTAAATTGAATGGTTATGAATAAGTGCTTGAGGCTGATGATATTGGATCTTTAAAGTATATAATCGAATGGCATACATATGAATTTGGAGTTGCACTTGAAGAATATTGAAAACACTCTTTGTTCATGATTTTTTTATTGAGTCATTTTACAAGGCATTATGTTTCTGCTGACATATCGGCCCCAGAGGTAATAATATTAAGAAAACACAAAATTAACCATCTTTTAAGAAATAACAACAGATGGGCAAAGTGTAAAAACCCATACATGCACAATAAGTATTGATTTCTAAACCCGAGAAATGAAATTTCCAATTGATCCTCAATGGACAAACACGAAAATATTAAGATCAAAAAGTTTGTATTCAATGTGCGTAGGTCTATTTGTGCATTAAAAAAGACCAAAACTCATCGAGAATAAAAAAAAATCTTAAGTAATGTAAGAGCTTCGAGGAAATATGGGATTAAAGAAAAATTGTTTTGTTCTCTGAATATGCTTTGAGATGCAATTGTGGCACTATTTGCATCTTCCATGTGCAATTAACGTTATATGAAATACTATAATTTGATTAGTTTACAACTAACATTACATTAAACCTTCTGACTATGCCTGAGAAATATTTTATAAAGGTGTACTTATGACAAGATTTTACAATTTAAGATTAAAAATGCAATGTCTTAAAAAAAATTGAAGATAACTGAATACACTTTTGCATTTATATTTTCCTTTTACACAGAAAAGGTTTCATAATTCACAGTCCAGCCAGAAATATTACATAGCGTATCTTTTGATTTGGAACTGTAGCACCTATTTGTTGTATGTAAATATTTACACTAAGCAGGGTACCTTTTGACATATTTTCCTGTAGACTTGAACTTGAGGTTTTCGCATTGATGTTACCATAATGCTTTATTAGGATCAATAGTAACGAAATTATGCTAAAGGCTCTCATTGATAAACATTTTAATCAAAATCTGTAACAAGTGAAATCTTGAAAACTCGTTGCATAAGACATACTTTTTCTTTACTAGAGTTACATTATTGGGAGATGGGGGACAAGAGACCGTATACAACAAAATAAGGTTTTTAAGGCATTTTTAGAACAAATATTTCCTAGTTCTCCACTTATGATATGGTAGATACATTACAAAAAAAAGTTAAAAAACGATACTGGAACGTACAGGTTGCAGAATTCGTCGACGTGAAATATTTTTCTCAAAATATCTTTTAAAGACATGGAACTTTATTTAAAAGATGTTTATACAATAAATATTTACATTTGCAAATGTTTTCTTTTATATAACACTATTAAAAGCAACGCGTATCTATATCCGTATAAACACGGGTTCCTCGCGTCATAAACGTTCGACGTAATTTCTCAGTGACGTCATAAAGGGTAGACGCGCAATCAGTGGATCAAACACGTGCCGTTGGGTTTGAAAAATAGAACGTTTCAGGCGTTAAAGATTATAATCAGGCAAATATAAAATATGAATAAGTCACAAATGTAAATATAAGTAATAAGGTAACATTTTAAAACATCTATCGGGCTATAAATACGGGTTGGTACGAGATCAAATTTACCATAAAGCCCTTCGGGCTTTATGGAATTTGATCTCGTGACCAACCCGTATTTATAGCCCGATAGATGTTTAAAAATGATACCTTATTTCTTAAATAATAGAACTATGATAAAAAAACAAAACAGAACAAAAAAAAAAAAAACAAAACAAAACAAAAAACAAAAAAAAAACAAACAAACAAACAAACAGACGTAATAAAATTTATATACATGGAAAATTACAAAATTATGATTGACAATGCCTCTTTAAGTGTCTAAAAGACAGAATGATATATTGTAAAACCACATAAATGGAAGGTTGCTGAAACTTAATCTTTATGTAGACACGTTTTATTAACTGTTCTATGTCAGATTTATTTTCACAAAATGATTGCACTCTCAGTACACATCCAATGGACAATAAATTAACATCTTAAAGCACTGGTAAGATTTATATTAGAACATGTAAAGATCAAAAGGGGAAAGCAAATTTAGATTTTCTTACAGAATCTGATGTCTCTTTTATACTTAGCCAATCATTTGACATCTTCATTGATTAATTATATTAAACTAACAGTGTAGACGGTTGAGAGCTTAATAAGTATTTTACCATGTATATTAAAGAATCAAGCGTAAAAATAGCGTCTACATTTCTGACATGATCATTTGATAAATACACATCGCCTTAGATCTATTAAATTTTACATAGTATAACCGCACTAGAACCTAGATATTTTGCTATTACAAGCAATACCATATGTCATCCCGAACTGACCTGATTCCGTTTACATGGAACTGACCCAAACGGTGTAATACTGGAGATGAAAGAACAAAAAGCAACCACTATCTCACATCTGTGCCAAAAATTAAACTTTTAAAAATTAACCCTTTTTATTTCACTTGTAACGACAGTCATCGACGAAATAATAAACCCCATAAACTTGGGGAGACACATCAATTTTATGCATTATGAGCACTTTAAGAGCACGAAATCAGATTTACATATATTTTTTGGTTCTGTTGTCATGGCAACAGTAAAAAAAAATGTCCAACCGATACTAATTTTAAATAGAAAGCACTTTGCCAAGAGCCAAAGCAAATCTTTTCTTTTTTAGTTCTAGTCTATGTATATTTACAAACGTAAAGGACAAGATAGGATAAGACCCCTTTTTGGCCCCTGGTTTGAGGTGTCTTTTAGAATGATGCAACAGTTTATCAAAACCTGTTGTCATCCCTGCCACAAAATGAGTATTGGTTCTAAGTTATGGGATACACAGAGGACACAGGAAGGTCAGAAAATATGTCAATTTCCGAATTTTCTAAATTTTATGCAATTTTATCCAAATTTATATATTTCATACACTAGTTTCAGATGCATCTTATGTATAAAATTCTCACATAGGCAAGCTTGTGCTCTATATTTCCGGAAGTTAAAAGTATCTCAAATTTGACAAAATTTCATCAGAATTGAGGAAATTCGGGAAAATGTTCTACTTCTGCACCCCCTTGTGGCCTCCGTGTAAGCTTTGAATCAAAATTAGTGCTGGTTTTAAAACAAGCATCATTTTAAGCTCTTACCTACAAACTATCACAATTCTAACTGTGTTCTGATTTTTACATGAAATAAGGGGCCAGATTCGGCCGCTACCATACCTTGTACTTTAGGGGGAAAAGTAGATTCCTCAAATTTTGAAGTCTAGGTCTTTTATGCATGGATTATCATATACTCGAATATATATATAAAACATCATACCCTAAACCCCACCCCTTAAAGAGGCCTGAACACAGTTACATTGTTTGCAATTTTGAATTTCTTTTTTATTTAAATATAACTTCAGTTTCATGCATTGAACTTACGTGAATATTGTTAGAATTCAATGACAACGACATTTTTCATAACACCACCTCAAACGTCTGTGTTTGTAAACAGCGCTCAAACTCTATTATTGTTAACATTAACGTTTTACAGGATGTGTTCAATTTGTTTACTCTGCACATATCACTGAGCACTGACTGACAATGCTAGTGAGTTGGTTTTGCTTTCTTACATTTTTACTCTGAATTTTTTGGATTATGGTTTTCATATTTTTCATTATTAGACAATTTTTTTTTCTACTTTTTTAGAATATTATGGATAAAGTTTACTTTGTGAAAGTGCGAGGATATGTGTCAATCAAACGCGCCCAAAAATTGGTAGTTTTACTAATTTAAAGATAAAAGAAGTTTCTAAACACGCTTTTATTATACAAGTATTTCGATGTTAAATGCTCTAGCAACATATAAGTCAAGATATAATACTGAAATTAACAGAAAATATGAACGAATCTGTGTCCAAACCCCTTTAAAATATTCTTGACAGTTATACTTTTTATTTACACTTTATTAGACTGATAGAATGCTTCTTTTATATACATTGACTCCTAAACAATGCTTTAGGAGACACACAATTCATGTGCGATCTGCGAGTGTGTGAGCCTCTATCAAATTTCAGATATATATGGTTAATCACTGGGTTAACATCACAAAATGTAAATAGAATCTATAGAAAACTAAAAAGTAAACTTAAGCAATCTATTCATTGTATATTTTTTAAAGGTATCACTATACTGTACATAGATAACGTGAAGGGTTGTATATAAACGCATCAATTTGCTAAGAACTCTGTCTGTAAATCTTTTCCTAAAAGTTATATTTTGTTGAGTACAAGTTCCTTTGTGAGTCTATTTCTGTATTGTTTTGAACGTTCTTTGTATTCTTTCCTGAAAGTGCAAAGTTTGATTGATTAATTTTTAAAAATATATTTAACAATAGAATACGCAACTTTTTGTCTGACGACAAGTTCCTTGAATACCGGGGTATACGTTTTGTATTTCTTTGTAATATATCAAATATTATTCATCATTATCAATATCTTGTGATTTAACTGTTTGGTGTAACTGTTTTAAAATGTCTTATAAATAAATAAACCAAAAATTGCGTTATTGGTAATTCAAGTAATTTCCAATAGGAACATCATCCTCTGGAATCTTTCATAAATGCCTGCATGGTAAGGTTCTTAAATCTTTTTATGAGGAAACTTGTTAAAATAGCAACATATCTATGATAAATTCTAGGATAAAATCATATGCTATTGAGGAACGTGTCGTCTGACCTCAATCTTATAATCACATATTCAAACTTGTTAATATATTCATTTGGTACTTCTAACGTGTACACATTTTTGCTAAGAGTTTAATCTTACGTTGTAAAATTTTTCCCATCTTCAATGGTTTCTGGTAGCAGCTGATGTAGCGTTTCCGGAAGAATAAGGGTAAGCCCCGCGGCAATGAGGCACGCCCCTCCAAATATCACCAATGGTATTGCAGTTCCGCTAGTACCGCCCACTAAATCTGCCTGAGAGAGTGATAATAAAGTTGATGGCGCAATGTTGTCTTACGATTTTGAAATAACGCACTTACTCTAAGTTTGATATATTTTTTTTAATTTTGAAGCAGCATTTGTGATACACTGTAGAGAGGGAATGCCGTAATAAATTGCGGCTATCCGTTATATATTACTTGCGCATGTGTTAATGACCTAAAAATGATTGAGAGGGGGGGGGGGTGTTCAAATCATTTTTTTCTGTTGAATATGACTAATCGGTGATTCTAACATTGACATTCAGAATACTTCTCTAATAAGTTAGGATATGCTATAGTTAGGGAATTCGCCAATCTGCAAACAATCTCAAATCTTATTACACATAAAGAATCTTTTAAAAAGTTTTATTGCCCTCATTTTACAAAATAAAAATTCATCGAAGCATCTAACATATCAGAGCATTCATTGAGTGTCTCCGACAAGGGAATTTTATGACCATAGCCATTTAGTATCAAAGACTTCCGAAATTACAACAGCTTTTTTTCATCAGTCGACAAATGTTTGCTGCCTCATTCATTTGTAGATCTTTGTATTAACAATTCCTGTGTTTTTAACATTGTGTAACACAAGTATTTTGATGAGTAGTGATTTGGCTTACTGTGTCTGCAATAAATGGTGAAATCATTCCACCAGCTCGAGCCCAGCAGGAGCTGGAACCCATCCCAACATTCCGAATTGCCGTGGGGTAAAGTTCTGCAGAGATTATATAGATCGTTGCGAAAGCAGCAGTGGCAAACATTTTACCAACCATTGCTAAAGCTGTCGTAAGCATTTGTAAATCTGCGACGGAAAAAAATTAAAAATGTATGCAGTAAATTCAAAACTTTTATGTAGTAAAATATTCTCTATGTCATAATGTCAAAGATTATCACATTACGTTCCATTATATAATTGTGATAAAATATAGAATAATGAGTATTGAATATTGCATTTGTTCAAGCCAATCGCTAATTAAATTTGACATTTTTCTGTACATAGAGAAGGAAATCACCTTCTCCGCCAAAGTTTACTGTAAATATGGTGCTCAGGCAAGCTAAACCACCGACAGCCATATAGATAATGTGACTTCTTTTTCTTCCGAATCTGTCAATCATCAATAAAGGTAGAACATGGCCTGGAAACTCCACCAGCACAACAATGAGAAAGTTAACGTAATAATCGCCATACAGAATCCCTGTGTTCAGAGAGAGGCCATAGAACACCATGCTAGCAACCATCCTAGTGGAAAAAATAGATGCATACAAATTCAAAAACATTAGAGAAATCACGTATTATGTAGATGTTACTTTTTAATGAGAGTATGACTCTTCTAAACAGGAGATTGACAGACAGGTAATAATCATACTGATTAATATTTTTATGCACTGGAAGTTGCCCATATGCGAGTGATAAATAATCTTTGCATAATTGTTAAATTTGTATGCACATATAAATTCATCATATAGATGTTGTTTTCGTACATCGAGCAGGTACATTTCACTTGTATATGCTTCAGGCGATGTTACCTGCGCATGCGTGATATGTACACTAGCACAAACAATAATTTTATTTTAGTACTAAGCAATATAAACAATACCAGTTATAAAATAGGATGATCGTTCTTATACCGAGGCGTCGATCCGAAAATAAAAGCCATATTTTTCCAGCTTCTTTCTTCTCTATCACAACATCCTCTAGCATCTTTGAGGAAACTTCTCTTTTGTTGTATTTTGCCGCCTTTTCTAAAATTCGGGCGGCATCTTTGTTTCTCCCTTGGCTAAAAAGCCAACGCGGCGACTCGGGAATAAACCTGTTATAAAATCAAATATGATGAAGCAAATAAAATATATACCCTGTAGAATAAAAACAATGAAAGTGCATTTTTCATACATTTGTGTCAGATTTTTATGCACAATTTATTTAGACTTGTCACATGTTGCCCTTATTTCACAGCTTCCATTTTTATGCAATATTTTAATGTTTTTTTTCTTGAGATATACCACCAAATAAGTGCGTCTATTCCAAACGGAAGAGATATTCCAATAAATATCCAAAACCAGTCTCTAGCGAAATAGGAGATCAATATTAGGTATAACTCTCCTACGGGTCCAAAGAATGCTATAATCAAACTGGCGTAGGTCCTCATTGAGGGTCCGACCCATTCTATTCCTGAATTAAATTCATTAAATCAAATAAATCATTTCTCTTTCTTTCATAATTTTTATCACAGAATGAAAGTGATAGAATATATAAAGAATATGGAAACTTTGCAATGTGACCTTAAAAAAAAACAATTCAATGATACATAAGTCTAGGTTTGAATAAAGTTGTATATAAAAAAAAATACCTATGACATATGACGTCATAAACAATCCGACGCATGCTGCCCCAGAACAGAAACATAGAATGACGTACATGACGTAATTGTATGACCACGCCAATGCAAGGGTTGATGACAGCTCAAACAGAATTGAAATTAAAAGCGTCTTCCGGCGTCCTATTCTATCAATACATGAAAAGCAAATCAGCTTGTATTTGTTATTATTAAAATCAATTCAATGATAAAAAACATTAACTTAACATTAAGGTATGTCGATAGCAGGAAACTTTTAAAATATATTCCCTAATCTTTGTGTCAGTGTAAATTAGTTTAAAAGAATCCAATACCTAATATGATAAAAATATAAATGATTTATTTAATTTCAGAATTATCATTCTCAGAATTGTTTGGCCTTGAATGTAAATTCAACGAGAGAAAAGCTACTCACCTGTCCGATATCATTCCGAACACGAAGGATCCCGTCAAAACACCGGCAAAGAAAATCGTCTTTGAGAGCGAAATTTTATATTTATCATCACATACCAGATTTTCCTTTAAAGAGATACAGCATAATTATTATAGTAACTAAAGGCAATCATTCAGTGTTATGTAGGTAAGTCCCACAAAAAATTTAATAAAAGATTATATTGTTGTTAAAAGATAAGGAAACACAAAATTCATGTGTATATCGAGTCTCTTGTCCATAAAGAAAGTTTAAGAAAATTTGCAGATTTACCTTCATAACAAAGGTGTCATAGAAGACATCTTTGCTATAAACCCAAGCCGTACATTTTATTCTTGTAGCGTTAATTGGTCGACTTTTGTTGTCAAACTTCGTCGCTGATTGGCTGATATCGTACATGGAACATTTTTCATACTCTCCATCTCCATCTAAAGGAATGTAATTGTGAATAAGAACACTGTGCTGTGTTCCCTGGACGGCGTATGTGTCATTGTCAAGCTCAGGAATTTTGCATCTAAAAATATTATCTTGTTCTATAAATACTTCATTGAATGGTGTTTGTTTAAAAATCAAGACACCTCAGAATTACACATATGTCAATAGCTCTTGTTTTATGAATATTTCATAAAAAATCTTTTTACATCAGCATTCAAGCAAACATGTATTCTGCGAGATAAATGCATGTAGTTGGATTTCTACCCCTGATTTAAGAATTCAAGGTATATCATTTTCCCGCCTTGGTGTTATTTGAAAATCAGGAAGTGTCAGCGTCCAAAAAAAAAAAAAAAATAATAGTAATAATTGATACGTTTTTGATAGTCTCGTAGAGATTATGACCTGTGACATATATGCACATTAAAAAAAAACACACACACACACAAAAAAAAAAAAAAAAAAAAACAAAGAAAAGAAAAGAAAAACAAATAAAAAACAAAACAAAAATCATTTATATCAGAGACCTTTTGCTTTGTTTCTGTTAAATTATTTTCTTCCTATAAGTCAATTTTATTTAACAAGCACATTAATTACAAATGTTTATATCAAAACCAAAAGCAAATTATTTCATTTATTCATTTCTTTTACTAAATTTCATTTATTTTTGTGCATTTAATGTAAGACACGATTTTTATGTTTACAGAAACATTAATTTAAAAATAATTATCGAGTAGCGCACTACATTAGGCATCAATCACCTACATAGAATTTTGTACATGAAAAATCTGTTTCAGATAATACGAGGGTTGACTTGTACTCATGTGTTTGTGTAGGTCCATTTTCAAATTTAAAGATATTTCAGTGTTTTCTTACTCTGATATACAATAAGCTCTTTAGAGTTTATAAAGATTATTTAAATATTCACTTGCATATATAAGTACTCTTATTTAGGACACACTATCTTGACATCTTCTGCGTTCTCCAGAGTGAACAATTAATATATCATGCAAATTGTTTGAATACCAATTGGGAAGGCATATTATTTTTCATTGTCCAGAGACAAGATTCCGAGTATCTCTTGATTGTTGTCCGGATACTTTACCTAACATTTATTTTGTAATGAATATATTAGTATTATCATTGTGTTCACGGCAGTAGGAGGCCTAATTTCTGCTCCCGATCTTGCAGTCCTGTTGTCGTATTTGAAATTACATTAAGGTCATCTAAGAATATATAAGTACATTTATAGGTATGTGTTTTATATTCCCTCTTGATACATGTATATTATTTTTAACGTTCAAAAAATTAAAACCAGCATAAATGTATTAATGAAATAATATGGTCTAAGTGTATAGGTTGTTTTTACTTAACTCAGTGCTTTAACTCAGAAATATGAATTTGCTTATTGGCCTACCACTCACAAAATGTAAATTACATAGTACTGAAATGCAGCTAGTCATAAATATGATGAGGAAGGCCTTATTCAATTCGTGCGTTTTTTAACATTTTTGAAATATAGTCGATTTTCTTACAATATTGAACAAACCTAAATAGGTAATCGTACGCAAATATGTAATACATGTATTTTTTTTTTTTTTTTACCATTTACAGTACTTTCAAAATTGTTACATTTTTTTTTTCGTTTTAAATCATTGACACCTCTTACAATTTATGACAGTCTATATATACCAGGTACATGTATACAGAAAAACTTGAAGTCAGATAATATCCCAAAAGTTTGCATTAAATTCATAATGTAACTTTTACCTTGCCATGCCTTGAAATATACTTTGTACAATTGACAGAAAAAAAGTCCAAACAATTTTTAAGTTCGATGAACAAATACTACTTCATGGTCTTTTAGTGTCTACATTTCATGACCACAGAACCCACGAGGTGGGTGGTTGAAGGCCTCTTTTTTTTCTGATCCCTTTTTTATACTCGCATATAAACCCCGTGCAAAGTCTGACCAACTATGGATTATGCTGTTTCATAATATTAGTTATTTAAACACTTTCCACAAATCAGCAATGTTCTGTGCCAGTAAAAATTGTGGACACATCGTTTCTTATTTATATGTGACACCATAATGAAAACGGTAAAGACGACGAACAGCCAGTCTCACAAATGCCGCAAACAATACGAGTCGCAAACAGGACAAAGATAATAACCCCTGCAAGAACTAGAGGTTGGACCAGGCGCACAGGAGGAGGAAAAATGAAATAAAATTACCAAACCAAAGCATGTGATTACATGCATGGATTTCCTACTTTTCGCTTGAGGTTCCATACGAATTGAAAAAAAAAAGATGTGGGACAGAAAATGTTTTAACTATTAAATAATTGGGGATAAGAAGAAAATCAAAAGCTCCTTTCTACGAATAATCAAACTTAATAAAAAATTGAGAAATTTATGTCAATAGAACATTGTCTAAAACAAAGTTTGTTGTTATAAAGTGCATATCTTTTAAGGAAAAAATGTAATTTAATTATGCATGCAAGTGTCATGAATCAATAAATAATTTCAATATTTATAAAATAACACTTTTAATCAGACGGAGCGTGCACGAAAGATTTCTTAAAAAGATGCCTGAAAATTAAAGTGTAAAGCAATAAATTATACGACAAATTTTGATATTTGGGTAGTGTTCATAGAATAGAATTAAGTTACAGTTATTATAAATACATGTACATGTATTAAAAATGCTTGCTATATAAAATGAAAAAAAATAAGATAAGTAAAAAGTAAGATTAAGGTACTCAAACCTGTGATCTGGAAGTCCTAAAACAAACACAGAAAAAGTCATTATAGGACCCGTTATCATCCATCCTATAATTAACAATGCGTAATTACGTCTCTGATATGGGCCAAATTCTCCTATTTCTTTAAAAATATCGTCAAACTTCATTGTTCAGCAGTGAACCTTTTGACCGCTTTGGCTTACAATTTTCACCGTCTGGACAACAGAAACCTCTGCCACTATAGAGGGATAACTTGGTGATGAAGAAATGCTACACGAGAGCAAGGGTTATTTGAATTTTATAAATAGTACACGATTGCAAATGGAGTGCTGTCTCTTAAAACATAAGTTTTCGACATGCTTGAGGCTGATGATCTTGGAGCTTTAAAGGATATTAATTGAATGACATACATATTTGGAGTTGCACTTGAAGAATTTCAAACACTCTTTATTCATGATTATTCTGTAGAGTCATTTTACAAGGCATTATGTTTCTGGTGATACATCAACTCAAGAGTTTTTCATGATTATAACGAAAATGCAATTCAAACAACTTTCGGGAAATAACAACATATGCACAATTTGTTAATAAAAGTTTCTTATTGTTGTAAGCCATAGATTTCACAATGAATATTGATTTTCTAAGTTTAAGAAATTAAATTTCTTTTCAATTGTACTCTAAGGCATAATTCTCAATGTACTGACAAACACAAAAAAATGTTTGTATTTAATGCGTGCAGGTCTGTATGTGTGTTGTAAAGAGAAAAAAACACTCTAGGAATAAATAAGAGGCCCATGGGCCACATCGCTCACCTGAGCACATTGGCTAGACAAAAGCACAAATCAGTTCAGTATTGAAAAAATTACGGGGGGGGGGAGAGAGGGGGGGTTGAATTTTAAACTACCTGATGATGCTTTCATGTCAATTTAACAAATGGCTTTGTTGTACTTGAGTAGATTTAAAAAAAAATTCCGATATATTCCTTTGTAAAAATTTGATCCCCCATTGTGGCTCTTCCCTATCCCAGGGGTCATGATTTGAACAAACTTGAATCTACACTACCTGAGGATTCTTCCATATCAATCTGACTAAACATAGCTTTTCTGTTCTTGAGAAGAAATTTTTTTTCTAGGTATATGTTCTTATGTAAAACTTTTGATCCCCCATTGGGCCCCACCCTACCCCCGGGGTTATCATTTGAACAAACTTGAATCTACACTACCTGAGGATGCTTCCATATCAAAATGACTAAACATTTCTATGTAAAACTTTGATCCCCCATTGTGGCCCCACCCTACCCCCAGGGGTCATGATTTGAATAAAAAACTTAAATCTACACTACTTGAGGATGCTTCCACATAAATATGACCAATCAGGGCTTTGCTGTTCTTGAGAAGAAGATTTTTAAAGATTTTTCCTATATATTTCTATGTAAAACTTGGATCCCCTATTATGGCCCCGCCCTACCCCCGGGGGTCATGATTTGAACAAACTTGAATTTACACTACCTGAGGATGCTTCCATATAAATATAACTCATCATGGCTTTGCTGTCCTTGAGAAGAAGATTTTTAAAGATTTTTCCTATATATTTCTATGTAAAACTTGGATCCCCTATTATGGCCCCGCCCTACCCCCGGGGGTCATGATTTGAACAAACTTGAATTTACACTACCTGAGGATGCTTCCATATAAATATAACTCATCATGGCTTTGCTGTCCTTGAGAAGAAGATTTTTAAAGATTTTTCCTATATATTTCTATGTAAAACTTTGATCCTCCATTGTGGCCTCGCCCTTCCCCGGGGGTCATGATTTGAACAAACTTGAATCTACACTACCTGAGGATGTTTCCACATCAGTTTCATCTTTCCTGGCCCTGTGGCTCTTGAGAGGAAGATTTTTAAAAGATGCTATTCACTAATTCATAATTATCTCCACTTGAAAGAGGGTATGGCCCTTCATTTCAACAAACTTGAATCCCCTTTACCCAAGAATGCTTTGTGGCAAGTTTGGTTGAAATTGGCCCAGTGGTTCTGGAGAAGAAGTCGAAAATGTGAAAAGTTTACAGACGGACTACAGACAAAATGTGATCAGAAAGCTCACTTGAGCTTTCAGCTCAGGTGAGCTAAAAAAAGAAACGCGGTTAAGTTGTGTATGCTGTCGTAGAAATCTAGCGTTTTGAAATTTTAGAAAATTATTTTTGCTCTGAATATCATTGCTTTAAATTGCATGTTCCTTCACTAATTTATCTTCCATTTAGTAACTGAGACAGAAATAATATAATTTAATAATAAAATTTGATTAATTTAAATTCTTACATTAGAAAAAAGTTTTTTCATTGCCTAAGAAATGTTTAGATAGATGCACATGCATTTATAACATTTTTTTAAATATTATAGATTAAAACTGCGAAGTCTTAGTGAAATTGACGATAAGTGTATATACTTTTGCATTTATACTTCACGATCTTTTACACAGGAAACATTCTATAATTACAGTCCAGCCAGAAATATGACATAAGGTTTTGGAACTGCTTGGTGCCTGCAATACCTATAATTAATTGTAAGTAAATATTTACTCTGAGCAGGATACCTTTTGACATTTCTTGCTGTTGACTTGATCTTGCAAATTCGGTGTTTGTGTTCACGTGATACTTTATTAGAATAAATAACAACGAAATTATGCTAAAGCTTCAAGGCACTCGTTGATAAAGACATTTTTCAAAAATGTGCAACGATCGAAAAAAAAATGTCTTGTAAAATCTGTAAAACTCATTGCATGATATATACGTTTTATGAACTGATAAATTATAAACGGATGGGGGAACAAGAAATGAATAATGGACATAATTTTATGGTATAAAATAATTATTGTGATATTTCCTCAAGTTCTCTTCTTATGGCAACGTTCAAAAACACGACTGGAACTGACTACCGGTAGATGCAGAATTTTTCAGACGTGTAATATTATTGCAAAACAATTTCTTCCAGTATTTTGATTTATATTTCAAAATTTCTACATTTTCTTTCAGTGCTTCTTCGATGAAAATAGAACTCGGAAATTTTAATACCATGTGATTCGTCATAAAAAATGACTTTGTTAAAAATCACACTGATTCTACACACGAGCACTCTGAAGCAGGGACCTATATACTAACGTTAGTATATAGGTCCCTGCTCTGAAGTTGATATTAAAAGGATGCTGAAGTTTCTCAAATTTTTCATTCTGAAGTGTCTGGTTTTATCGTACACAACATGTACACTATAACCCTACCCAGAAGTTGATGTACAGATGTACATGTATCCTCTGAAAATTTTTAAAATGTTGCGAGATAATTTTCAAGGAATAATCGAGTAGTTAACAATAAAAAGGTTCGAAGTAGAACTCTGAACGATTAATTGGTAAAGAAAAAAGTCTCGACAAGCGAGCTATGTCTTGTTGAAGTATGTTAATGATTGATAAATTGAAAAAAAAATATGAGTTTGAAGTTAGGAGTGATTGAAATTGAGTAAGGTACCTAAGTTAGCTGGAAGAAAGAAAAAGTAGGGGGTGACCGTTTTATAAAACAAATGTCTCTGACCTGATCCCACCTCGGGGATTTCCGGGGGTCCGTGTTATATACCCTGTTTACAGATCTATATTGTATATAAGTGATTATTTAAAGATCGATCACAAATCGCTATCTACCTTTTTCATGATAGTGATGGAAGAGCCATTTGAACAGCTACTGCCGTAAAAGACAAGAGTTCACAATGCTGAAAGACTTTTTTTAAATCTTATAACATAAACTTTTATAAATAATGAATACGTCTCGTGTAGAGAGTTGAAGGAGATATTCATCGATGAATGCAATGATAAGCGAAAGCAACCGCCGGTTCTGGGTGAACTATGCATATTATTTGAAACCAGGTCTGCATTTTCATGATCTGGGCATGCACAACTCTGATTAGTGTCGGACCATTTGTAGAAAGTTATATCAATATAAAAATAGATAGATATGTTCTTTTGTTATTTTTATAAGTAGGAAGCCAAGTCAACTGAGCAAAATTTTCTGAGGGAGTAAGAACAAAAATAACAGTAGTTTTTAAATGAAAAAAGTCATTTATTCAAGTGTACGTAAATGACGAAAAACATAAAATACACATCAATCATAACTGAAGAAAAAAATTAGAAAAAAAACATCAAAACACATAAAATCCTTTGCATCATATAATGTAAAAATTGACCCCTAAAATTAAGAATTCCATCAAAATTCCAGATGTGGTGCCATCAAAAAGGGGTTACTTGATCCTAAACTTTTGGCAGGTTGGGAGATTGGAGCACGGCATTTTCCAACTTATAACTTAAGTTTTAAAGAAGACAATACGCTTCTTTATCGGGTTCGGATTGTTAGCTACTGAATTTAAGCGGAAATGGCATCAAGGCCATCAAAATCAACGACTGAGTCGGATTTGAAATATCTAAAATTCCTCCGACCTGGAACGAGGTACCACCATGTGTTGACAAACATTCAGACACACATTACAATTACATACAAAACTTGTACCGTCAATTCCAAAAAAGGTAAACCTCATTATAACATAATGCCATAAATTTTAGCGTCTGTTTAAGTCCATTTTACGAGACAATGTGGATGTTTGTTTTTGAATGTATTTTGAATGTGTGTTTTCTTTTGACTTTGGATATGAGAAATGAGTAGTCCAAGACCAATTCATCTATGATGAATCATGACAACAGTTAACTCAGGCACGTAGCATCGGGACGGGGGCTACCCCCACTTTTTTCCCCGAACCTAACCTATTACTGTTAATTATTTTGTAAATATTCATTGAAAAGCCAGATGGCCCTTCACGTTTATATATCTAGTTGTTGTATGGTCGAATCCTACCATTTTAATATATTAAAAAAATATTGTCGAAAGATGGAATCCCCTTCATCCAATGAGATAGGATATTTTTTACTTTGGACAATCTCCCCTTTTTCAGCTTGTCAAATATTTTCAAGTAAATTGTCATTTGTTTTATCATTTTATGCTTTGTGTCTGTTATTTCTCGTCGTGTGTCAAGTAAACAGATATTGTTAGAAATGATTTATGTGTCGTCAAATACTTAAAGCTATTTCAATTAAAGCATTGTTGAAGAAAAAACCAAATTGAACTCTGCTTTAAAATGAGTATATTATGACACAGTTTAATTATTCTTCAATTTATTAGGCTTCTGAAGTGGATAAGGACATTGTATTCACAATGATATGAAATTGCAGAACTGCTTTTCAGATATCTCGATTCTTTTTCTGTTACTTGATGATTGGAAAAGATTTAAGTCTTTTCCCTTTGAAAATATAATCAACGGTACCTCTGCTTACCACTGTATTGTTACAGGATTTGAACGCAATCATTTACATGATTGTAAATGTTAAAAAAACTGCTTATTTTTATTTGTTAAAAATTAGTTGTGGCATTTTCCTCATTGTCTTGCATGTTTTTCTTCTTCCCCAGTACGATTTTCCTGAAAAAGTATATTCAAAACCAGTATACAAATCTTGAAATTCTTTCTTAGTTTGAATTGAAACAGTAAACTTTGTAACCCTACATAGTGAAGTTCTTCCCATCTTCAATGGTTTCTGGCATCATTTTATTTCGAGTGTCCGGGACAAATAAGCTAAGTCCGGCACCAATAAGACAAGCTCCGCCAAAGATGACCAATGGTATAGCGACTCCAGTGGATCCATAAACCAGGTGACGCTGCATTGTATTACAAATCATCTAAATGTTTGCACATGCGCAATTTATCTTTCCTGATTTCATATTAGTATATCTGACGATATCATTTCGTATTTGATTGTTAGATTTTAAGTAAAAGGACAACATTTCCGATTAAAATATATATTTTGTTCATCTTTTATTTTCTCCATATATATTGAAAATTTATTTGTTTAGCATCTTCATCGCTATAGAAATATATGCAATAACATGCATAGTATTACCGTTTCTGCTATGAAAGGAGAAATCATTGCGCCAACACGGGCCCAGCTAGAACTGGTTCCCATCCCAACGTTACGGACAACAGTCGGAAATATCTCCGCTGAGAAAATGTAGAGCGTGGCAAATCCGGCTGTGTTGAACAGCATCCCAATCATAGCAAGAACAGTGGTTAGTATCTGTAGGTCTGCAAATTCAATTATTTCAAAGATTAATAAAATTTGTTTACTTTTACCTCGTGCAAAAAATAGTTCACTGGAAAAAGTAGAAAACAATCTTCCTGTCATTTTTTTTTTAAAAAGTAATGCTTTATATATAAAAACGCAAAAAAATTATTATCACAGTGGCCTGTTTCAGAATGCGTCTTACCCTTTCCCAAATAGTTCACTGTTAATATTGTACTCAAGCACGACAGACCACCGACAGTAGTGTAGAATACATAACTTCTCTTTCTACCAAATCTATTGATGGTGAACAAAGGGAGTATATTCCCAGTAAACTCCAACAGCACAAATATAAGAAAATTTATGTAGAAGTTCCCATAGAGCATAGCAGTATTCAGGTCCAGTCCATAAAATACCATGCAAACCGCCAACCTTCGGAAAATCATAAATGTGAACTTATTCCAAATTAACTTCTGAATCAAGTAGAACATTTTCTATTTATATTTTTTAGCAGAAGAGAAATGTACGTTGTGTTGACAAATAAATGCAAAATAACATACATGTACTTAAGAAAAATATCCGAATGATATATTCTGACATATTTTACTTTGTTGCATATTAAAAGGTATGAAGCAAACGTCATTATTAACATTTAAAATATCTGTATAAAATCAAGATGTGAAATGAGAATTTAATTACCTGATATTACATGTATTATAATATCAATTGAGCTTAATCTCGTACCATTACTTACCAGTTGTAGAAGATAATAGCTGTCCTTAGTCCGAGCTTCCTGTCAGAAAACAACAGCCACACTTTGCCTGCCTCCTTCTCCTTGGGGGCAATATTGTCCAAAATCTCTGGAGAAAACTCTGTATGGTTCCATTCTGCTGCCTTCTTCAACAGAATGGCGGCGTCTTTTTTCCTGTTCTTTCCACACAACCATCGTGGAGATTCGGGAATGAACCTTCAGTTAAATGTACTTCTTTGTATGGTTACATGTACAGGTATATTGTTGAAAAATTTGGAAAGAAGTTAAGATTATGTTAACTTCTAGCTGCTCATCGAAGTGTCCTTTCTGACAAATTTCATTTTTTAAAATAAAATCTGCAATATGACTATTTTAATTGTCATACAAACTTTGCATAAGAAATGTCATTTTTTTTTGTACAGGACACGAGACTCTGACTCGTGTGCGGTTAAGAAAGTACCATTAAAATTTTTAATGATTTTCAAGTACCAAGATTATGATATTTTATTTATTACTTTCTACTGTTTAGCTTGACGGTAAATTATGGAAGTTCTAAACACTGATGAAAAATGATTTTTCTTTGTGTATCATATAAATGTGTACATACTGAGTTTAGCTAGTTTATTTTCAATATAGTGTATCTGCAATATTACCACAGGGAAATGGTTAGACAGTGAAGTGTTCATGAACACAAATTACTGTTGTTTACTTATTTTGGAAAAAAAAAATACATGCAAATAATGTATTCAATTAATTATCTTGGACTTGTATAATGTTAACATTACTTTACTCTATTTCAAATTTTATCATTTATTTTAGATTTCTTTTATTCCATCTTATTTCAAAGGGCAGATCCTACAACTGCATATCATGTAATTAAAACTCTTCAGTGTGCAGTGTTCAGAGCTTCTTAAAAAATCTAGCATTTCAACAAGAACTTTTACAATAGATATCGAGGTCCACTGATCTTAATTTATGCTTATTAATGAAAAAATGTACATATTTTTCTTTATATCGGCTAAACAGTTTTCCTGTTGGAGTCCAATGGGAAAATTCATCTCGATTTGTAAAAAGGGGTACATTTATCCAAAAAAAAAAAAATAAATAAATAAAAATAAAATAAACACTGACAAAAAGCAATTCTTGTGTCAGATAAATTTGCATGTTACATATGATACGCTTCCTTATTAAAAAATAAAGAGGGTCAAGATAAAATAATTAAATCATTAGATCTTCAAGCTTTTAATAAAGAGCCGAGCCGCGTTAATCCAGACGCTTATGTACCGAGCAAATTGTCCGGATTAAAGAAGAGTCCGTATTACTGAAACACACTTGGTACATGTGTATATCTAAATATAAATTGTTCCCCACAAATTTTGTCCGGAAAGTAAAGCTTTTGAATTATTGGCGTCCGGATTAACGATGCTCCACTGTAAATAATACTAATCCAAATTCCTACCACCAGAGTATAATGTATAAACCAAAAGGAATAGCGCTGAAAATAGCCATCCAATGCCAGGTACGTGTTAGATACGATATTAGAATAAGATACATTTCTCCCAGTGGCCCAATCAAAGGAACAACACACCCAGCAAATATTCTCTTAGAAAAGCCAACCCATTCCATACCTGTAAAATACAGTCCATGTCATTTTTTGACCCACGACATTCAAAGTGCAGTAAAAACTTAGCTGCAGAACTGTAGCTCTCTGGTTGAGAAAACCAGAGAGCTACAGATCCAAGCATTGCAAAAACCTTCGATTTACGGAGGCACTTTTTAATCACAAGCTTAGGTATTTCTTGTATTATATTCGGTCCCCCGCCTGCAGCCAGAGAGCTACAGTTCTGCAGCTATAAAAAACCATGAACGTTCAGAAATCTTCTTTGTGTTATCTTATTACAGTTCTAAAGAGAAACATCTGAAAAGTCTTAATTAACGCCTTTTTTAATTACACATCTATGATATAACTAATTAAAATGAGGAACTTCGTAGTTGCCCAGTTGCAGCTCCAATACATACATGTGAATAATCAATAAAATTTTTAATGGAATGTTGTGCCAATTAGACTATCTTACCAAGAACATAAGACGTCATAAATATTCCCACGACACCAGCTCCAGCGCACATATACAAAATGACGAAGGTTGCAAAGTTACCTGCCCATGCCATCGCCATATTTGAAGCGAATACTATTAAAAGTGCGATTAAAAGAGCAAATCGTCGTCCAAGCCTGTAAACGATTCAAAGACATAAATTAAATGGCTCTACTGCAATAAAGGAAAAAGATTGAAATTCGCGCATTGATTTCTCTTGTATTGGTGTGCAAGTATCATGGCCGTAGGAACCGGGGGCACGGGGGTGGGGGTGGGGCGTGCCCCCCAATAATTTTGCCGATATATAGAATACTATAGAAAACACATCTACTATATGCTTGTGCCCCCTCAATAAAAACACTATCCTGAACGTTTTTGCTGATGTAAAATCTAATTTTATGAATAAATGGTTGATATGGCTCTTCATAAATATTTGTCATCCATCCATATTCTCTGTGCTATGCACTGTATAGTCAGGAAAATTTTTCACCCCTTTCGCCTTCGTCGCAAGTGTGCGGATTGAAATACTATATACAGAATAAAAGTCTTCCATCGTTAGCTATTGTGTTTACTATATTAAAAATGTTCACTATTTGAATGAAATAACAAACAATATTTCTATGAACAATTAACTTACACATCCGATAGCAGTCCAAACAAAAACGATCCTACCAAAACTCCTCCAAAAAAGATCGTTTTACTTAGAGAAGCCTTATACTTCTCCTTACAGACAAGATTCATCTGAAATTTAAAAGGTCTTTGTATTTTTGAGGGGCCTGAATACATCTTTGATATGATGTATTAGAAAATTATACATTTAATAATATACAATCTGAATTGAAAATAAAAAGGAAAAAAGATATTACGAAGTTAGATCCAATAGTAATGTTACTAGTCCTATAAAAGCTTTAGTAATAGGAAGCCATCAACAAAAATGATAAACTAACATACGTATTCATTTGAACTTTTGCATAATATACGTATATACATAAATAATTCTCAAAATATAAAATACATAATCGCCGCACGTGAAAAACTTAACCATCATGTTTATGACGTTACTTTTTGGCACTCTTTCTCAATTCATCCACAAATTATATACTAAATCTTAATTTCCATGTTTCTTAATAATCTTTACTGGTATCTTATTCAATTTAATTGTTTTATTATTTGAACTAGTTCAAAGTTCATTTCCATATTCATTCCATTGTGCAGATAGATGTCGTGTATCGTCAGCTTTAAGATGTAGTGATATTGATTTTGGATTTAATCTCGTATATACGTATACCTTTGTGACAATCGTTTCATCAAAGAGAGTTTTGTCGAATACCCAAGAAGAACATTCTTCCAAAGTTCCACTGTCATTTAAAACCGAACGTGTCGATTGGTTGAATCGATACATGTGACATTTATCGTATAAACCATCTGGACCAATAGGAATATATTTCTGTATTAATTCCTGGTGTTGACTGTTTTGAACTCTATAGGTATCATTATCAAAATCAGGAATTCCACACCTGTAAATAAATCAAATTTTGCCTGAGAACACAGTCAATTTAAATGTTTTGTTATACGTTTTACTTGTAATTTTGACATATCTTGCGCTGGCTTCCATGTTTGCGATAATTGATAAAATAAAGCTGATCACGTAGAGTGACGTAAAAAACGTCATAGCAGTCCATTATCTCATCGACAGATCCAATATTTCACTCAGTGTCCACTATTGATTTTTTTTTGGACGGCTCAGAAAAACATGGAAAATGTTAGACTTTTTAAAGCATAGATTTATATAGGAAACAATTTTTAAAGGTATAACAGTACTTTTCATTTTGTATAAGCCGATAAAATAGAAATATTTAAAACTATAAATAGCATATACAGTATAGCGGGTTTCTTTAGCAGGTGAAATTTTGCGTTTTGCTTGCTCAAAAGTATGTCCTTAATTTTGGCAGAACTTTTTTGGCAGTAACAGAGTTCCGTGACATTGCAAAAGAGGGAAGTTCATCTTTTAGATGAGTTTTTAGTAAGTTTAATACACGTTTGAATACCGATTTACGCAAAAGTTTGAGTAAATACCGTTACCAGATGAAAGATATATTGTTTAATAACAGACAGATCAAAGTTATTTTTCTTGTATACAATATACGCAAGGGTACAAATTTAGCGATTACAATTTTAGCGTGTTACTATAAAAGAAGCCAAAGTTAGTATCCCGCTAAAGATTCCCGCTATACGGTAAACTGAAGTCAATAAAACAGATCCAAAAATTTCCTTCATTCAGTAGCTCCGATCTATTCATCAGAATAAGGAGAACTTATTAAAAAGCTATTTTATCAACACACTTTAAAGCTTTGAACACGCAGTCAAAAATCTTTGAAAATCTTATTAGTCAATGCTAAATTGTTACACGGTTAATTAAGAAATAAACAACAATATTAAAAAGTTCTCTGGGAAATGAACTTGGTTGGTCACGTGATCAAATCCTGTGAAGCTCGAAGGGGTTCTCAGAAGATTTTATCACGTACCAACCAAGTTCATTTCCCAGTGAACTTTTTAACATTGTTGTTTATCACTTTTATTTATTTCATCGTTGTCTGACGCTTGTTCTCTAAAATTCGGTGTACCCCAAGGCTCGGTATTGGGTCCGAGACTCTATTGTCTATTCTCTAAACCCCTCAGCGAAGTCTGCAAACGTCATAAAATGACGAACCATATATACGCCGACGACACCCAGATATACATCATTGTTGAACCAAGTGATAATTGGACCGATATGTCCCAAAGACACTCATGCTGTTTATCAGACATACGTAGATGGATGAGTGCCAACCTTCTCAAACTCAACGAAGATAAAACTGAACTCATAGTCTTTGCACAGAAACATAGACTTAAAAATATGAAGAGTCTTGAGTTAGGATTGGTGATTGTATCGTTAGTGATGCATCTTTTGTCAAAAATTTAGGTGTATTCTTTGACAAAACCCTCTCCATGGAAAAGCAATGTATCTCAATTTCGCGTTCTGCATACATGAACATTCGCAAAATTGGCCGCATCCGTCCGTTTATCAGTGACGAAGCATGTAAAGCTCTAGTGAATTCCTTAGTTATATCTAAACTAGATTACGGCAATGCATTGCTATATGGTGTTCATTCTCAACACATCGCCAAACTTCAGAGAGTGCAAAACACAGCCGCAAAACTAATCACGTAAAACTAATCAAAACTAATTCTAAAAGATCAGACCAAATTACTCCAACTTTGATCTATCTTCACTGGCTCCCAGTTCAATACAGGATCCAATATAAAATCCTTCTACACACTTTCAAAACCCTTCGTAGCCTATCTCCAGTCTACATGAGAGACATCATGACTGTTTATAACCCGCCACGATCACTACGTTCAGAATCCTCGCATCTTCTCCAAGTACCTCGGACACGCACGAAAACATACGGAGACCGTCGTTAAGACAAGGCCGCATCGAGTCTCTGGAACTCTCTGCCTTTTAAACTTAGAGAATGTATTTCATTGCCCAGTTTTAAAAAGGATCTGAAAACACATCTTTTCAAACTAGCTTTTAATTTGTGATTTCTTAATATAAATATGGCTTACATGTACATTTTATTCACATGTCTTTTTTATGTATTTTAAACATTGTCTCTTTTTATATATTTTAATTGTAAAGCGCTTTAGAGGACTCAAATTGATAGAGCGCTATATAAATTTTTATATTACTATTACTATTTACATTTGAGACGAAATTCTGAATAGAACTGCATTTATTACACGAACGGCCCGCCGTATTGCTATGTTGTGACGCGCAATGACCTAGAAGCTGTTTGGTCTTGAGAGTTCGCCTCGCTCCATCATTTGAATACTTACATTGATGTTCCGCAGTCCAGTTCAGGAAATATCTGTTTATTATGAAAAAAAAACCAATGATCGTTACTGAGAATAATCTTACTATTATTGTATGAGTTCTTTATACGAGTATATGAAGTCAAAAGCGGTGGTATCGTCTTCAGTTTACATACCTTCAAAAAAATTTCGGGTTGAAAAAGTAAGCGTGATTTTAGGCTAATTAAAAGCATTCTTCACACCAAAGAGAGATCTAATGATCATTTGTTGAACGAAAAAAACAATTATATATGTTTCAATAATTTTATCTTTTTCATCGCTTTAACGGCTTAGAAGTTCCGAAACCTGTGTCACCGTAACCAGCTGGTAACAGAAATATGTAGACAAGATATCATCTCGTTATGTGATTCAGTCACGCCATGACCTCTGACCCCCTAATAAGTTCATGCAGAATATTGAACATATTTTCACTTCAATAGGTTCATCTAAGAAAAATATTTGCAAATGTAAACAACAGCTTCTAAGTGTCGTGTCGTGTTCTAAATGTCGAATTTACCGAGTGGGAGTAAAGACTAGCTGAGAACTGTAGCTCTCCGGAAAAAAATATTGACAGACGGGAGAGCTACAGAGCCACCAATAGAAAAAAAAAAACAATTATTGCGCACAGAAAGTCACGCTCAGTCCTGGATTCATTTCTTCAAATTCTTTCCATAACTAGATCTACATAAAAGATCGATATCAAAAAATTCCTCTAATAGTTGACATCTGCACGAAACGTGTTGGACCGAATTGTCTTTCCACCCAAAATGGCAGTATAAAGAAGCACAATTTCCGATGGTCTCAATTTCAGAACCAGGAGTGCTATTAACATAGGTTATGGGGAATATTTTGTTGTGGAAATAGTATACAAATATGTTAGGAACACTTGGTTTGTAATATTTACAGATGGCAGATTAAAAATACGGAGATTCTGAAATAAATCGAGAAACAACGCACTTTGTTGTGCGCAATAAATATACACTATTTCAATGGGTGGCACTGTAGCTCTCTGGTTGTCCATCCCATTTTTTTCGAACTGGTAAATTAAAAAAATTAGAACATGACATAATATTGAACGATTTCTTAAAAATAATAATAATATTGATAATAATGATAGATCTAACCTGTGGTCTGGGGTCGCGACCCCGAAGACAGAATATATCATAACGGGGCTGATAATAATCCATGTTATGCTTAACAAAGCTAACGTTCGCTTTTGATAAGGGCCAAACTCTCCGATTTTCTTCAAAATATCATCAAAGTCCATTGCAAAGCAGTTGTGTATTACAATTAGATGCACATTGCACGTAGTATGCACTCTACATGTTCTACTATAGCATAACAACCTGGAACGCCTGTTGACAAAAGAACATCACGATGAGTTTAAGTCCCGGATGTTAACCCTAGCGGTAATAAATAGGCTTCATATAAACGTTTATATAGTTCACATAAATGGGCTTGATCCAAGCATTTACAGAAATCCTTGGATAGGAAAATGTGTTGTCTATTCAATTGTTAAACAAAGCATTACACTGACATTTGCTACGGTTGTGTTTTACACACAAAAAACAAAAACAAAAACAAATATTTTTATTTTCCTTTGAAATAAAACTGATCTTCAATCTCCAGCAAAATGCAGCCTGCAAAGCAAACTATCAAATAGTTTTCCTTGTGACAAGTCAAATATAATGTTTTCAATGTAAGACAATACAATACTAAGAAATTACTTTGTCCATCGCGGTCACCCATGTACTTAGTATATATAATTCACGTGCCGCATGAAAAGCATCGGTCAGCAGTATACATATAGGTACATGTACTTGGAAATGAAAAACATACGAAAAAAGGTACTGTAAAAATACCTTTCAAAAAAAAAAAAAAAAAAGAAAAAAGAAAAAAACTAATACGCTTAATTAACGCAGTGTCTAATCAAGAAGATTAACATAGTTAAGCCTTAAACCCCTACTTACACTACACACTAAGGAGTTCTGATTCTGTGGTATTTTTATCCAATTAAAGTATTCTGCTCCTAGATCCAAAATAAAAGAATTTGAAATCTACAGTGTTTTCCTCAATTTGTAATGAATTCAAGCATTCTTTACATTTTAGTAGACCAAGATAGACAAAGTATGAAATTAATTTAGAGGCTCTTAATTTAATTTGATACTTTGTCTGCATGTATTTTTTTTCACATAAGTGAACAATATGAATAATAATAATTTTTGTTCATCAGTATTCATTATCTTTAACCATTTTCCCTGGGGGTAAATGCAAGGTACCTTATGGTGAAAATGAAACGGATAAGCTCAAAATTGACACCTTCATACATATAATTTTCTAAATGTCTAAAAAAAATAATTTGCTTGAGTGTATAGGGGTCCTTAGTGTTCCTCTGGAAGGAAACCTGCTCTAAAACATATACATGTATCGACAAGACCACTATCTCGTTCAGAAAACGTCAGAAAGCTGCACAATATACACACAGTTTTCCAAATCAAAAGGACACCTTAATTGTAACACATCGATATAAAAAAAAAAAAACGTACATCATACGCAAATAACTCTAAGACAAATTTAGAAGAGAGATCTATGTAAATAAAAATACTCTTTGTCATGGCTTTAATTTAACATAACTCAAATATAACTCCTTTGTATTTAACAATAAGTCTCTGTAAAAATATTAAGATTACCATCTTGTAGAGGAAGCATGCACCTTGTAGACGCCAAGTGATATATATTTACTCAAAAGCCCTACGGTTGACATGAATCATCGTGACGTACCAAGGTCATACCAGTGAAAGTAACTTTATAACCTCGTCATTTTCTTTATAATCAATAATTACATTATAAAAGCTATATATATGTTTTTGCTTTTGTTTTGGAGGGAAGGGTTCTTTATAAGAATTTCGATGATCGGTTGTTGACGAGACATTAACAACAGCAAGAACAGCGGGTACTTCTGTTGGCATTAACGCAGGAATGTTAACAGAAAAATGAATCAAGGAATTCTTGCGGAGGGGGGATTTCAAAACACGGAAACTATGTGTATTTAACATATCTAATTTAATAAATTATAAACGTATATATACTGCCCAATCTTCTACGCAAATGTTTCGAATCCGTTTCTTGGTTTTAACGTGCTGTATGCGTCTACTACCTTTCTATAACGTTTTGATGATAAAATTTTGAGTTTTTGCATTCTTGAAATTTCCAGAAACAAATATTAAATTATTGAATTTATGAAGAGATTTAGAATCAATTTACTTTTTTACCATTTAGTATAGAGAGACTATTCATTCTTTTCAAATTTACATACCATTAGATGAAGTCCCGCGCGAGCGTTGGAAAAAAAATTGATGCCACTGTTAACAAACAATGCCATATTTCTCCAAGTCATTTGCACTAACAATTTAATGAATGTAATTTCGCAAAAAAGAAAATTTGTTTAAATTTGCTTAAAAAACAAAAGCATGCAATAATGTTTAGACCAACAATCATACCAGTAGGTCCTAGAACATGATATCGGTTTTGTAGAAAAGTATCTTAAGAATATGCATGCAAGTACTGCTAATTAGAATTTTAATGAAAATGAATACCAGGTGACACGTTTTCTTAGACACGTAATATCGGGAAGAGTGCGGGGTCTGCCTCTGCACTTTTCTCAGAATAATCATTTTCTGTTTAATGAATATGGAATTTTTATTAACCCCCCCCTTCCACCCTCCTCTATTCTTGGAGAACATTCAAATCCTCCCAACGAATATACTCCCCTAATTACATACCCCGTACGATATGTTTATCTTTTTGGTCAATAATCTTTTGCTTGTTAATTATTTTCTGGCAACCCCCCCCCCCCTTGAATAGCAATGCTATGAGCCAATATCTAAAGATTTCGATAATTCTCTTATTCTCTCTCTCTCTAGCTGTAGCGCTCTCTCTCTCTCTCTCTCTCTCTCTCTCTCTCTCTCTCTCATGTAAATGTCTGCCTGTGGCATATGAAGCTTTGCAATTATAGCAAAATTGTAGACCCGCTATTAAGTGCATATATAAATGAAGACTTTTCTAAGACATTTCTGTTAAATTTTTGAAAACCGATAAAAGTTTTAATTGTCAAACAACGTATAATAGAGTGTTTCTCGCACCGTATCCAGTCATTTTGCTGCAATATAACCTTTAACAAAGTCACTGTATCGAAAGCAAAACCATCTAAGAAGAAAAAGGAAAAAAAAAAACATTTATTTAACTTCATTCATGCATGGACCATCCACTTTCACTTTGCAGTGGAATTTTTCACACACCTCGGTAAAAATCAAGAATATTCATAGAAAAAAGTATATAAGTGAAAATTTGTTTATTTCGGTGTTGAATTGAACACATTGGAAAATTTTTATATTTTTTTTTTATTAATAAATAATAAATCAAGTTTCGATAAATATACATGTATTCATTATTAACGGACTAAACTTGTCCTCTAAGTGACATAGATTAACGCATTTGTCCACCATCTTACTTTCATTTTTGATATTTCAGGATAGATTATCGAAAACGAAAGTATGTTTTTAATTAAAATTCACGATGATTACTAATCATGTAAATTTTTGTGATATTTTACGGACATCATCTCATATGTGAAGCAATATTAAAGTTCATGCAGTAACTCTGGTGCAAGCCTTTTAGAGTTAAGTGGCAAAAGTTATTTTTTTATTTGTATGGATTATTCAGGATCTGGAGTTTAAAAAAAAACAACATGCATTATAAGCATATTATTTCCTCAAGGAACACAACTGTAAAGCAGACATTTTTCTTCCAGTTACCACGGATATTCGCCTTTATTGATTTAACATCGATCCTTCTATTATTTTTTTTTTCAAAATCCCTTTTTCTACTCTTCGCCCATATTTTGATTTGTACTATTCTGTGGGCATTCTCTGTAGGTTTAAAAGGGCAATGAAAAAATGCAATGGACACCTCTGAATGAAAGACCAATATTGTAGTCGATTGTTATTACTTCCTTTAAATAGAACTAGGAAAACTGGTCTGAACTTAATTTTCATCACCAAGTGATAATGTTATTTATTTATTTTTTTAAATTAACATTTTCGTATCAGCAAATTTTAATAAAACTTTTTACTTGACAGTCCGTATTTAAATAAATAAATAGGACATAATTTCTTAAAAAAAATAATTCCCTGTCTAATATCCTTGTTTACAGATTGGATTATATGATATGAGGTTCTTGGAGAGAGGGAGACACTTGTCATTGTTTAGTCTTCTGTTTGAATATTACGTATAAGTTGACTGCTAAAAGAACATCATGGTAATCAATCTTCCGTGCATGCTTTATAACGCTGATTTTTGGTTAACAATCATTCAGGCTCTCGACAACTTTATTTATTTTAATAAGTATTTGTGTACATAGTCACAATAGATCTAGAACAGCTCTCGTGCTACATGTATTCATTTTTCCGCTATATTAAACCGGTGTCACAGCTTTGTCATTCCAATATCTGGGGAAGGGGCCTCCACCGCTAGGGACAAGAGGGACTTCTTCCTATATTCTGGCCTGAAATATTAACAACAATGTCTTTATTAGCAAATTACAGAACAGACTTGTACGATTAAACAAATAATCATTGCATGTATACAATGTACCTGTGTATGGTCGAGCATACGTCATGATATAATTAAACATTTTTGCGTATTTGGGCAAAAGGTTGCAAGATGTAGATAATAACATTGTAAAATATTCACGCCTTTTTTTTTTTATTTTGATAGATAATAATTATACTTTTGTACTAAAAGTAATTTTGGAAAATGTAGGTAATGATATAATAGAAAGTGTGCGTGGTAATGATAATAGAAGGTGTGCATGAGTGTCTTACAGATGAGTTGTAAAACAAAAATCCTTACGTTCCAAATGCAATGCCATCATCAATAGTTTCCGGAAGACTCTCGTCTAGTGTTTCCGGAAGTTTTAGGGATAGGAGACCAGCCAACACTGAGGCACCACCAAATATAACCAGCGGAACAGCTTGACCAAACTGACCACCGATCAAAACACCCTGAAAAGTAAAAATTAAGCTTTTTATAACAAGTTATCATACCAGACACACATAATCAGTATTGCTTTAGCATTCTACAAATTCACACTAACAAGTAGGGCTTTTTCTAGGTCTTCTCAGAGATAGAAAATTAAAGTGAGTAGGGTTAGATTAACAAGACTTTTAGTTTTTAAACATTTGTTAAAATTAACTACCGAGTCTGCTACGTATGGCGCCAATATTCCACCGATGCGCGCGCAGCAGGAACTGGCTCCCATACCGGCGTTACGGACCACCGTGGGATACAGCTCAGCAGAGAAAACGTAGATAACAGCAAAAGCAGCGGCGGATCCAAGTTTTCCTATCATAGCCAGTGTCGTTGTCAACCACTGGAATTCTATTGAAAATAAAGTTTACCAACGCAATAAAGGATAGCATTATTGCTGGACTAATGTTAAACTACGCTCAATAGATATTCAATAATTTTTCTGTTTGTGTGTTTATCTAGAAAAACAATATTTAAAAAAATACAAAAAAAAAAAAAAAAAAAAAAAAAAAACACACAAAAAAACCCCAACACATATACGTATTTCTACCTTTTCCACCGAAACTGATTGTGAAAATGGTACATAAACATGCAATTCCCCCTAGAAGCATCGAGGTACAGTGACATTTTTTCCTTCCCCATCTGTCCAGCAAGATCAGACAAAGGCCGTATGCGGGAAATTCTACCACACCGGATATCAAAAAGTTGACGTAAAAATCTCCACCGAGATTTCCGGTGTTTAACGACAAGCCGTAATACGTCATACTAACAACCATCCTATACAAAAGATCAATTTGCAATTAATATAAATTAAAATACCATAGATTTTACTAAAAATAAACAATTCATGAGCCGACAGATGTGTTCCCCTACCAGTTAAAGAATATTATTAATGTTCGGAAAAGTAGGACCCTTGAAGTAAACAGATTCCACAATGCGGCAGTTTCGGGCTTCTTCATGACATCGTCGTCAAACAGTTTTTCCGGAAGTGTGACATTATTAACCTTTGCTGCCTTTCGTAACACCTCTTCTGCTTCGTCGATTCGTCCTTTACTAAGTAACCATCTTGGTGATTCTGGTAAAATGCTAATTTCCTCAAAAAATGAAAAGGAATTAATTATTCAGCCAAAAATGATGATAATATAGCTTTAAAATTAAGAAAAAAAAAAGAGAGCAATTTTGATAGTCACCAAATACATGTATTACGATTTTTAAATTGTTTATTCTAAATTTACACTTTTCTATATCTAAGGCAATATAAAAGGTAAAACCAATAAAAATCAAAATAAATAAATAAAACAAAAATAAAAGTTTAGTTTTATTGACGAATTTAATGATTTATATGTTTTTTATGATATTGTTCTGATTCGATTGCTCCTGAAAAACCAGCTACAACGCAAAAACAAGACCTCTGAATAGAGAAAGGTTAGTAAAGAATGAATTCCTTTTGTGTCAGTGCTTACTGTTGTTGCGCCTACTTTGAAGCGATCAAGTTTAATGTGACGTGATTTCTACTATTTTTTAAGTCTCCTTCGAAAAAACACTTTCTTACCACCAAAATGAAATGAAAACAACAGTTGGAATAGAGAGAGATAGCTCAATCCAAAACCAGTCTCTGAGTGCATAAGCCACGCCTGCTAGAAGAACAAGGCCCACAGCGAAAAAAATCTCGTTCACAACACCAGCAAAAAGTCGCTTGCCGGGCCCCACCAATTCCATACCTTGATTTGAAAGAGAATACATTTGTGAAAGAATTTTTTTTTTGTAAGTGTAGATTAAATAATTAAAAAATATTAACAATTTAAGGAATGTAAATTAAAGAAAATGAAAGCAAATTATACTATGCATGATCTTTACCTATCACAAATCCTGTCATGAATACCCCGGATGTTGCGGCACCAACACAGATCCTGATCAATACAAACGCAATGTAATTCGGGGCCCAGGCCAATCCTATTGTGGAAGCCATCATCGCAATAACAGACAGACAGAGGGTCTTCTTCCGGCCAATGCTGTAAAATGAAAACAAAACCCTGATCTTGGCGCATAACGTAATCATACTTATAACATTCCAAATCCATATAAATATGAACAATAAACTTTAATTGCTGTTTGTGGTAGCTAATTAAGTTTCGAAGAAATAAATTTTCAATTTCAGCGAAAGAAGACTTAATTTCAAACCCTGTGGTACAGATAAACGTGCGTATATTTGATTTACATTTTGTTTTACTCACGCATCAGACAGGATCCCGAGCCCGAGAGCACCGAGGAGAACGCCGAGGAAGAACAGCGACTTTGCTAAAGATGTTTTGTAGCGGTCATCACACACCAAATTTATCTGTAAATTATAACGACAAATTATTGTTTGTCTTCTGTGCTAGAGTGTATCAGTATTCTGCCTTTTAACTTTCAATCTGTAATTAAATTTGAAATTCCTTTGTAATTTTTTTTTTTTATATTCATGAGAAAAATTATTAGAAGAACTTAATGCCTGATTGTCATCTTCATATGCATTTAGAAAATTAAGAGACCTTAATGCCTGTTTTTTTTTTTTTTTTTACCTTATCTGTTCAAGGAGCAAGACAAAACATAAATTTCATTTTACATTACCTCTTTTGCAAATGTAGACTTAAAAACATCCTCACTATACACCCATTCTGAGCAGCTTTCTTTGTGTCGAGATCCATTAGGACTGATAAATGACGTATTGTCATAGACATAGTAACTACATCTGTCGTATAGCAATGTATCGTCATCGGGATCGGTATTGGGAATATACAGATCAATCAATGATCGGTGGGTCTCGCTTTGAATAGCGTATGTGTCGTTTTCGATGAAAGGCAATGCACACCTATAAAATGGAAAAAAAAAGTATAGGTTCACCTACGTTTTGTGTTTGGATTTGATTTTTTTTTAATCCAATGCGTTGTGTGTAATATGTGTTTTCATACCCGAAAATTTGGTGGAGACAGAAAACGCGCAACGATCTAAATATTGCTAATCAATTTTATTACACCTCCTTGTATTAATTGTATATAAAAATATAGTCCAGCTATTTTTTTCTAAACAGTCCTTTACCGTGAAATAGTTTTAGTGTTTTTTGCCCATGGTGAAATTCACCGGTAGCATTCGAACTCCCCCACTTTTCACCTCGGAACTTATCTGGTTTTATCCGAAGCGTAACGCGAGATAAGTAAAGTTTTATTCGGTGTTTCCCTCTGCTGTGCCTCGGGAAATTGTTGCTGTCTTGGGGGACAATAAACTTGCTATTGTCCTCATAGGCAGTAAATAGGTGTATATAATATTCGATCACGATTCTTTTTTAGCACGTGTTTTCCCTATATTTGATGATTTCTATCCCGATTTCATTCAATTTCCCGTTGTCTGTTCTGGTCCACACAATAATGTAAACAATTTTGCGCCGACAAAGATGAAAGTGATTTTGTAAACATAATTCGTTATATTTCGATGATTTTATTAATTTTCTTGATATTCCATGTTAACAATTGAACACACATATATTATTTTTGGTTGGTTTGTTTGTTTGTTTGTTTGGTTTGTTTGTTTGTTTGGTTTGGTTGTGTGTTTGTTTTTTGAACATCACGAGGTCTAGGAGGACAAATTGCAGACTCAAAGATGTGGATTTATTATACAATTATCAAGTGAGTGATATCAAATTTAGATGGGGTGAACAAGTAATTTTTTTACAAGACAATGTCTAATTAAGAATTTAAAAAGTGCAGGCCGGGAAAAAAATGTTTCAAATAAATACCGAATAAGATGAACTTTTATAAAACCCAGGATTTTTCCTTTCTATAGAATCATATTACCGTGAAGCCGATTAGGCTTTCAAGAACCAAAGATTTTTTTGGTTTTTTTGTTTTGTTTTGTATTTTGTTTGTTTGTTTGTTTGTGTTTTTTTTTTTTGGGGGGGGGGGGGGGGTTGTTAATGATCAGTAAATCAGACACTGACCTTCAGTGATTAATATTTTCGTCATTTATTTGAGAAATGATTGATCTTGTTTTCATCTATCCAAACGTTTTGCTGAGCATTTTACCTCGGAGTACATTTCCTCTAAAAATTATATATTTTAAGGATGTTTATAATTAATTGAGAATTTGTTTGAATAAAATTCCCGAGTTGCCACGGCCTATGTGTTGTACCAACTAAAGTCTGTTCCATCAACTTTTGATGTACAACATTACTTATACCTAAAGCTGTCAATGATATGTACAAAATGCAAATTGCAAAAATTAGGCTTTCCGATCATAATCTAAATGTTAAAACTATTATAGAGATATAATTGAGCTTAGAAAAATAGATACAAATTGTAAACTGTGTGGGTTAAATGTGTTTGAAGATAAACTACGATGACCTTTTAATCAAGACCATAGATTAAAGTATTTCTAAAAATGTATTACCTTATAAAACGTTGTATTTGGAAATTAATTCATCTTCTAAGTGTACAAAATGTAAAGAAACTTTGTAATCCTGGAAAATATCTATGTCAAGCCTCCATTAGGATAACTGATTATTTGTAATTAAAAAAGTTTTATAATTTTATTTAATTTTGATTTAAATTTAAATTAATTTTAATTAAATTTAACTTTAAAAAGTTACCTGATATAAAGAGTTATATATATATATATATATATATATATATATATATATATATATATATATATATATATATATATATATATATATATATATATATATATATATATATATATATATATATAATTATATATGTGTATGTATGTATATGTATATGTATACTCGCTATTTATTTATAATGCTCGCTGTCATATTATAAGATTATGTGCTCATGTTTTGAAAATTGAAAGAGGAAGATAAAATGATATCCCAAGGAATTGTAGAAAAATGTGACCTTTGTACAACAAATGATTCGGAAGAATACATTTTATTTTATACTTAATTGCCCAAAATATCAAAAACTATTACATGTACTCCTGTCTCCTTATTGCTTTTAAACTTATACAGCTGTTGAACAGTTCAAATACAAAGGAAATGAGTGACCTTGAAAATATATACTTTTTGCAAACAAATTTAGAAGTGAACTGCTGGATTTATAAATACTTTAATTATTCACACACAACATTATACTGTATATGTTGCTTATATGAAATGCTCTATTGTATACTGTCCTCGTATTTAAACCTTTTTGATGTATGTCTCTGTATATTCACTAAAAAATCGGACAACATATTGTTATACCCTGTAATTTTGTATATATTTAGTAATAACATGAGTATTGGGTACTTAGTGTGTCGCTTGGAACAAAGAAATAAAGAACTTAGAATTTGAAAATACAGCTCCGACACAAAGAGGTCGAATCAAAAAGGTCCATTCGTTAAGCAATTAGCAAAGCTCCGACTTATTATAGTTCAATCTAATTCAAGAACTGGCATTTAAGAATGTGCGCCTCTAAATAATCAGTTTAAATATACCTGAAGATTTTGTGACAGAATCCATGGTTAAATACTTATCATGATCATGATTTAATTTTAAAAAAATAAAATTAAAAAAACTCTATTGAAGCATTCTTATTTATACAGAAGAACTAAACACTTTGTAAATATTATTTCAAAGCAATTTAAAACAACTCAAATTGTAGTCAATTCGTATTAACCGTCAATTTCCATTTTTATCTTATTTTTTTCTAAAACAGAATGAAAGGAAAAATTCTTATTGATAATTTTATAAATTCAATGATCAGTATATTTATTTAATAAAGTTATCAAGAAGTTTTTGACGGATAATTAATTGTTAGCGCCAAGTGGACATTTAAATATACTGACCGATGATCCGGAACACCAAGTAGAAAAACGGAAATGACCATATACACGCCACAGCTGATACCGGGCAGACACACGGCCAGAAAATAAAGGAGTTTTTGATACCTCCCGAACTCCCCCAACTTAATAAGAATGTCGTCAAAATTCATCTTCCCGATACTGTTGGAGGACTTTCGAACTTTCGAAATAGGTTACGACGGACAGATGAGGCCGTCAGACGACCATCAATCTTATCATGGAGGTGTTTGCTAATGATTTTGAATTGACAAGTTGAAAAGAGTCTTTATCTCCAAATTTTTGGGTCACGTATTGCCATAGCACTTCACGTATCTGGAGTGGACATATTTTCATGGTGTCTGGTGTCCTGCTATCTGGTGCGAACACATTTATGATAAACTTAGTAACAAAAAAAAAAGGATGAAAAAATATGCTAGATAAAACTTCATTGTTTTCGCTTATAAAACAGAATAGGTTACGTTTGATTTAAGTATGTATAGTATATTAGTTTTTGCTTGTTTTATGCAAACATTTTTTCACATGTCGATCCTGGAAGAGAGGAATTTTGAAAGTGATCTCTAATATCTAGGTTAAGCTGGGTGACCCAAGTCCTAATTATCGTAAAGGGAGATCGTGGAATTTGAAAGTTAGCCATACATAATGTGTCGATAGCTCAGCAACGTAGAGACTAAAGAATGTCAAATTTGAATTAAAAAAAAAAAATAGCGAAGTCGCTCTATGTTTTCAATCTTAGATGATCCTAAGTAACGTAAACTTTGTCAAAGAGAAAGAATTGAGTGTCTCAAGCAGGCACTTCAATTTAGAGTTAAGACTATATATAAAGTCATAAGGCAATACACAATTGACTAGTTTTCAATTTCACCTATGTAAAGGAAATGAGATATTATTGAACGTTCATCTTTTCTTTTCCTCGCCAGTTTGAAGTATTGTGTTTTTATTCTTGTAATTTCCAAAATTAGAATCTAACAACTTAATATATGCGATACTTCGGCACATTACTAACGCGTTATGCATCAGTGTATATCAACAGGGGCAAGTGATAGTCGGATCTCCTCCTTGCGCTTGTTTGACTTAATACAGTGTACATTTATGAGCATTGTTTATTTTTCAATTTTCTTTTTAATATATTATTATGGAATTCCATATACGACAGCCAACTGCTTACTGCTTATACTGCCAACTGCTCAATGCTTACTGCCAACTACCACAGCTCATAGATGATATTGCCTGTTTTGTTATCTTTAATATCTTTAATACGCATGCTTGAGTAAATCTAGTAATCAATAATAACAAAAATGGCAGGTTCAGAAGTTTTTAACGGTGGAGACGAGAAAGGAATAAGTAGGAAGAAGGAATATTTTCTTCTCAAATACAAAATCTAATTTCCTCATTTCCTTGCAGGCAAATAATTCAATTGTTTGTTGACGGGGGAAATATTAAAGGCTTATATATGAAAAAATAAATGAAAAAATGGAGGGGGGGGCTTTTAGTAGGATACTGGGTAACACTCATAAACCATTGTGACAAGCATTTATAACAGAAATACTAATGAAAAATCATAATACAAGGCATTATTTTTACTTTATGTAAAAACAATTGATTTTAGGCAAGGAAGCAAAATCCGTGAAAGGGGGGGGGAGGCAAAACCCAACAGAAATACCTTGATAAGTAATAAAAAAAAAGGTCACAGGCGTCATTTTTTCAGGGAGCACTACTGTATAGTATATGTTAGAGAAACACTAAAATATATGTTACCCAATCCAAAGGTTATGTTATTATAATGTTCAGTTATATTTCTTGTGCATGTACATGTATAAATACATTTTTATACTATTTTTGTATTATTTTTTCTAGTATGATTTTTTTTTTATAAACCGCTTTGCGGTAGCTATTAAAGTCTCCAAATAAATGTCAATTTGGCCATTAAAGCTTACGTCAATGTAAAGAAAAGTTCATTAGTAATGGAGGAATAATAATAATTAAAAAACAGTGTCAAAAAGTTATGTTGCAATTGCTCATATGTACAACTGCATAGGGGGGTAGAAATTTTATCAGTAATTGAAATCAGGCTTAAAACATCAACAGATTTTCAAATACTCATGGAAATGGATAAATAAATCTAAAATTTCTCCGTTTGTTTATTTAATGTAAAATTCAATATATCAGGTTGATAAGGTACTTTTTTTTTTATTTGTTACCTCATTTGAAATTGGTAATAAAACGACTATTTTCCTGGTTTTAGTCTGTAAACATATGCCCCCACCCCTGTAAAATATCAAAACCTTTGGTACATGTATAATTTTTTTAAATAACAATTCATAAAAAATTCAGAATTCATCCTGTAAATAGGAAACTGTTTTAAGTTGATTTCTATATATAAAAAAAGAACTTTTACCAAATTAAAGACGTATCTCTCTGTTTTCCCAATCCAAGTTATATAAATATGAAACATCATTCAAATATGTTTACTTTTGAAAATTGACTTGGCGGTAGTAGACAGAACAATGATAATCGTTCGCCGATCTTTTTTGCTATCATAGGATTTATAGGATTCATTCAAGCATGTGTATTAAAGATATTTTATAACATGTTTACCTTAATGAACTTTAAAGAATGAAATTAAACGTCATAAGTAGATTTTTTGAGACTGCACTGCATCCTTAATTTCAACACAATTCTTCATCAAAGTACTTTTCTGGTTCTAAATTATAAAAAAAGACATACATCTGTGTACGGACAGTAATGTCACATGAAGTGGATTTAGGTTTTGGTTGATTGATACCCCCCCCCCAACCCTCGTCCAGCGCAACTTACCAATCAATAATTAAAGAATTCAACAGAAAAAGCAATGGTTCGGAAACCTCCTTCTGGTTTCAATAAATAATGGCTTTAAATCTAACCAATCTGATTAAAATCAGATCTTTGTTACGCTCCGAAATTCTGATAGTACGGCGACTATCAGAATTTCGGAATGTAACAAAAACCTTACTTTAATCAGATTGCCTTTGCTCTACCATTCGTGACAAAATAACGCAAAAGAGCAACACTAAGCTTGATACTTAGAAAGTGTGCTAGAATCGTGAGGTAAACATGGTTTGAAGAAATATTTCGGCTTATTCCTGTCTTCCTTTTTATCCAGTCAAGCCGAACAATCCCTCACTGTCAGATCAGCTGGTGAGAAATTCAGAAAAAAAAGTAACTAATATATCAACTCGTATAGGAAGGTTCAACGCACCTTTTAATGAGCAAGTTTGAATCCACCTTACCAAGGAATGCCGAGTTTGAGTTCTTTAAATGAATATAAACATGTTTAAAAAGCACAACGACAATAACAACGCTTCCAGACAAGAGACAAATTTCGATCAGAAAAGATCATTCGAGTCTCTGGCTCTGTTGTCTAGATAGTGTTATATTGTTCTGCATAGATTAAACACATAAACTTTTAGGAAAGACCATCAATATTTAAAAAAAAAAAAAAGAAAAACTTCAGATGCCAATGTTCTTTATTTTGATAACATTTGATCCATATTTTATTCACAATCTATTCGCAATATAGTAAGTCAAGTTATATTATTTCAATCATAAATTTAAACAAATGGGAAAAACTTACAAAATTCCAGTATGTAAAAAACAAATCATTTTCATTTATATACTGAACATTTCTAGCGCTCTACCGAGCTACCGTGACTCACGGTCTAAACTATTTGAAAAAAAAATACACTGTAAGGGAAAATCTGAGGCTAAATATGTATATTTTATCTAAATGAATAACCTATCATTCATAGGTTCATAGAAATTGAAATTTGAATTGATCGAACGCTTTTCTGATGAAATATAAAGAAAACGAAACATTAATCAATCTAAAAAGTCCATTCAAACAATAAAAATTTGGAGTAGAGCAAACACGAACCTCTAAAAACATCAGATGTGGGATGGGTTACAATGGAGGGACCCCGGTCTCACTAACCCGGTGCTTCTTGTCATGATCGGGTTAATAGAAAAACCCATACACAATTCAGTATGTAAACAATGGCCCACAATTTGCATGGAAAACGTCAGTTAATGATAGGTTGAATTTTCTGTCAAGGTCATTTTATCGACCATAGAATTTGCAAAATACTGACTTCAAACGAGATTGTTGATATTCTTGTTTCATCAACTTATTTGTCAATAGCTTGCCACGTTTTAGACATGTTTGTATGTAGAGCATGTTCTTGGGTATCGAATCACCTGGGAGGCATAAAACTCCATATGCACGTGATTATGGTATATTGCTACATAAAAAAGGGAAGTTGACTATAGAAAAGTTGAAGTCATCACATTAATCATAAAGTTTTGTTGCTAGGTTTTAATATACTCTTTTTGTAAGATATCCAAATATGAAACATATGAGTCTGATTCTGAAGTATGTCTTAATTGGTGCTCAGAGGGATATAGCGAATTAACGTAGGGATGAAAATGAATATTGTTAATTGACAAAACGTCGTCGATATATCTAATAGTTTACTTGAAGGTGACAGAAAGGGAGTGTTTCTCTTCATGTAGAAGTTTTTAAATAAATTCTGCTTCATATGAATACAAAAACTAGGTCTGCACATAACGGGACGTAATTTGTACCCATGGGAAGTCCGACAGATTATACAGAGACTTGATCCCCCAAAACAACATAAATATTGTCAATCAGAAACTCAAACATCTTTGTAATATTGACCTTGGGGTACTCGTGTGTACAATTAGAATGTTTTTGAAATAAAATAATTGAATGACCAATGACAATGATGAATCTGGTGCGAATGTTATAAAATTGTGAAAATAGAACAGATTTTAGGGAATTTGGCACTGTTCTCCTATCATCATTTGGTTCAATATATATATCATTTAATTCTTAATGCTTCAGAGCCTTCAGAACAAATGTTTACAAGTATATCTCAAGCTGGTTAGAATGTTAATCGTTACTTCATTATGCTCTTGTAATGCGTTATTGCTGAACAACATTTCAAAGCCTGGCCAGATAATAACCCCATCTTTATAAAATCTTCTTGCTTCATCTTCATAAAAACTGCAATGCAATCCACGCCATTTTGAGAAAAGGCATCGCTATGGTTCTCAATACTATACTGGCTAAGAAAGTTTCCAAAGC